ATACTCTCCAATATTTTTAACATTTCAATATCATGTTCATAAAACTAAAATGTATGGCAATCAGATGCTGTAGATATTTGTAATGAATCACTTTGACACTAATCAACACATGACATTTTAGCACACAGTGCAGTTGCCTTCAACTAGCCATACAGAATTCAAGGCACAGTAAAGCAAAGTCTGGAAATTTTACAAGAATCTCAGGTCAGAAATTTTGAAGGCATGCTATGCTTTCATACTATATGTCAGCAGTTAATATAGCATCACAAAATATCTAATAAACAAATATGATACTAAAATGAAATGAACTGACAAAGCTAATATGTTCATATCTGAGCTTTTAGAAGTTTTCATAATAGTAAAGATTCAGATTGTGGTCATCTGAGCTACACACCACATCATCTGATATAATTAGATACATGTGCACCAAATATGGAAACATAAGAGTGTGCTGAGATTTTAGGTTTCCTACAGCAGTGACTGCAAAAATCATCTTGTGGGATGTAATGCCACGTGGTCTGGTAAAAGTTAGAAGTAAATTTCTAACAGACTACAGAGCCTCACATCTCAGAAGGCAGTATTGTAACAAGAAAGTTTTGGCTGAGATTATTTTTGCATATTTATGTGGTGAATACATCTGTATTGTTTGGCATGGCATGGCACCAAAGTAAAGTGAAAATGTAAGAGACAACAACTGCAATGGAATGCTGACAAAGCAACAAAGTATCCTAAATATTCAGAGACAAAGATATTCAAATGTAAAGCAAACTGTTATAATGTCTACTGGAACAGGGTTATCATTTGGGATGTAAAGTGGAGGAAGACATATATAGCTTACTACATGGTCACAGAGAAAATAAGTGCGGGACTCTACACACTAACATCTCTGTTCTAACAGACAGCAGATATTACACAAAGTAAAATTACAGATTTTCAAGATTTCCATACTGCTGTACCAAGTTAGGCCATGCCAAATGCTTGCATGCACATTTGTGTTTAAGGCATTTGCAGCTGACAGTACAGAGAGGGGTTAAAAGAATAAGGACATCTCTGTTCTAGCTGATAGGCAATGATCAAGGCACTTTACACTCATCACGTCAGTTCTAAATTGGTTTGAGATGGCCATCAATCCCTAATGAAATTGGTTGAACATAGGAGGGTACAAATATGGATGCCACAGCACAGGAGAGTTAAGGGGAATGGGGCTGCTGACCAGTTGACAACCTGAATGTCCATCTGTAGGATCTGTGTGGCATCTCAGAATTACCAAATGAGCCACCAGGGCCTCAAAGAACAGAGATCACCAAAAATACTGGAGTCTAAACCTGCATATCATTATGTGAAATGTTTCCTTAAGGGACCCTCTGCAAAAGAAATCTGGGATCCATTACAAGTAAATAGTAACCAGCCAAGATGTGATGGAACTACTTACATAACTGTTATATGAATGGGTATCTCTTCAAATTCGGACTGATAAACAGTCTCACCTGAAGGTGCCATAAAAAAGTAAAAAAAGTAAAGCTATCCCTGTAACAGGCCGTGAAGGCCCACAGGGTTGTAAGACGTTAAGGGTCCCACATTACCTTGACAATCAGCTCAGAGATGGCGGTAAGGTTGTCAGCCTTACGCGCTGACCGCGCTTCACTCCCCAGGAAATTCATTTAATTAATTCCTGGTACTCATTTCTGTTAGAGGCTGGAAACCTCACACATCCTACATAACTATATGATTTTATATGATATAAGATTTTGACATTTTGGACTCTGTTTCATGAAGTTATGTGATTATCAAAACATACCATTAAGCAAAGTATTGCATTATTCAAGTACTGGATTGCTAGAGGGCTAAATCAGAAAGGGACGCACAACGGGTTACAGTTGACTCCAATGCAAGGGTTAGTATGGCCC